AGCCTCGCTACCATAGACAGATTCCCACGTTTTCCCCTTAATATTCCTCACGGCTGACTGGAAGCGATGATTGGATCTTTTCGCACCCATCGCCCCAGCCGGCCAAGAGATAAAAGTTCCACCGGGCGTGCACTAAACCTGACATTTATAGTGCCTTTCCACTTGTACGAATTCTCTCTCTCTCCTTATTCCAGTTTTCACCCCATCTTCACAAACACGCGGGAAAGAGTCAGAAGGAAACAGAACGCTATTAAACATGACACGGGCAAAATTCAGCCGCATCCTGCGCTCCTGTTCCCGACCCCCATCCTGCTATCTAGCTGTCATCCCACCAGCGGCACCCAGAACTTCCCACTAAAAAAAAAATCACCGGATTTCCGAGAACGCGCTACAGCAGCACGCCGGACGACGGCCGAGGCAGCACGGACACAGGCGAAGACGTAGCGACGGGAAAAACCTGCGACGTCTGCGGCTCAACATGCTGGGAACATGCATTTTTTTTTTTCTGACACCGTGGCGTTGGTGGTGAGGGATGGTGAAAAAGAAAGAAAAAAGAACAGGAATATCTTCACAAATCCACATCCACGGAAGCAGCTTACCCTTTCTGTCCCGCTCCGAAAGAGACCTCCTGCCTGGGCGAGATCCAGCCGCCGCCACCGCCGTCGTCTGCTGATGACTGACCGCGATACGCCTCAGATTGTAAGGTCGCCTCGCCTCAGTCCACAGCTGATTTATGTGGGTTACCGTGCTACTGAAGCGCAGTGAAGACGACGGAGAGAGCGAGAGCGGAGCTGGCGTACGGTCAGGCTGGACCCCGGCGGGCTGGGAGCCACATGCACATCCCTCCCGGCGTAGCTGGCTCAGCTCGGCAGGTAGACGCTGACGCGCGGGGAGAGCTCGCCCATACCGACAAGGAGCGGGGGGGCTTTCCCTGTACCAGGTGTTGCTCCGGCAAACTTAGGGACACGGTGAGGGAGAGAGAGCGAGAGAGCGCATGAGACTGAGAGAGATACAGACAGTGAGACTGGGAGATACTGAAGGAGAGAGAGATAGAGGGAGCGTGTGTGTGTGAGAGGGAGAGAGAGAGAGAGAGAGAGCGAGAGCGAGAGCAGCATTGAAAAAGCCAGCCACAAGGCTGCACAGGACTGTCATCTGCTCAGAGGAACAGGGAAAATAATTAGATTCGAGCAGCACGCTTTTTCCAAAAAGTCGGGGGTCTTGAGTGTCTAATGTTGGATTAATTAAGGCAGATGTGATGTGAGAGCTGCTTAGGTTCATCCCCCAATAGGACTGAGCTGAAGCCCCCGGGGGCCGTCGTTAACATACAATCAAAGAGCCGCTATCAGGAAGGAGGCCGTGTGGTCCGTGATCACCGCTATATGTTAGGGGAAGTGTTTTGTTTTATTATTATTATTGTTGTTTTAGACTGGCTGTAAAGACTGTAGTTCTCTTCCTGTCATAAAGACCCAGTTGTCTGCTGCGAGCAAAGTCCTATCACTCGTGCACAGGGACAATGGCAGTGGAACCTGTCCCACCGTCCTGACTGCGAGAAAACAATGACACGTGAATCAAGGCCTTTCACGGGAGATTTGAGGGCCTTGGAAAGATTCCTGCTTGTGGTGTTGAGGAGTCAGATTTCTGGAGAGAAAGCAGACCTCGACCCCAGGAAAAAAAAAATTAAACATAGACAATTTCTCGTTAACGCTAATAACTTTTTCATGCAACTCTACATAACCCGAACAATTGTTAACATCCTCAATTACTAATCATTAATAAACTGAGCATACTTATAAAAAAGGTCCGGAAAATGGGATCACAGGAAAATCTATGAATGGACAATGAAGATTACAATCAATTTCAAACCTGAACCAGCCAATCAAATAAAAAAAGAATCAGAATTCTGTATATTCCTGCTGTGCTGTCACACACCTTTCCCAGCTAAATGGCTAAGTGGTTTGTTACATTTAGATCGTTTTTGTGGCGTTTAGCACATCTATTGTGAAAAGTGTCAACGAAAAGACGTTGAAGACACCGAATTTACATAACAGAGCCGGTCTACAGAAACTCCATACCACAAAATGCCATACTACCTTACAGACGATTTGATTGACTGAAGTATGCATTCGTTATAAAATGGTATCATCTATTTCTTCATACTTTTAACATAGTAATGTCTTTAGGCTTTTCAAATCCGCATTTCAGGGGTGGTATTTTTATAGCCTGTACAGATGTACACAGCACAAATCCTTATTTTTAATAAATAAAAGCCTTCCTAAACCTGCAACTTGAAATGTCTGACGCGGAGAAATAAGACCAACGGCCGACGGCTTCATCTTGAAAGAACGATAACGCTTTTACTCTCAAGGCGCATAAACAATAAAGGTGGGATGCGTGCGAGTTTTAAATAAGGAACAGAGAAATAATCGAAGCCATTCGGCGAAACGAGGCCCCGCGATACAAAGGAGACAAAGGCGGCGGCGGCGGGGCACGTCTGCCGATACGCAGCGATATACTGCCCCCTAGCGAGCAGCACGCGACGCGCCGGCAAGTGGCATCCCGGATTTCTACGATATGTTAAATTATGAACGAATAACAAAAAAAAAAATACACTTATTACACTATATATATATATTTGTATATAGAAAATATTATATAACTGTTTTTCTCTTATTGAGATACTCCATGGCTTTGACCACGGGCTGCTATTTCTTTATATACAGCAAAGTCAAATGTCAGGAATCATACAATGGACTCTCCATTCATTTCTATGGGGAAAACTCTAATCCCAACATGACAACCTTAACCCCTACCCAGCCCTAACCTGAACCATAAGCAATCAAACAAAATACAAGGCTTTTAGTTTCAAAAAAAGTTGTCAAAAGAGCAGAGTTTTATCACATTCTGGGGTACATTTGGTCCCACACAATGTAATATAACCATAATACACACACACACACATTCCCAGTAGCTGCAGGAATGTGTAAGGTTATGTCTCATTTGGCTGCCAAACATCGGCGCTCGCTCACGCTGAAATAATTGAAATTGACTTTCAGATGCTGGGCGACTACGCCGCATTAACTGGTTTACAGGGGCTGAGAAAATTGTCCCCTTAATGATGTAACTGTAGATCAGGCAGGAGTGTGACCACCCAGGCATCCTGTAACATCACAGTGACCCGTCACTGTCCACGCCCCCCCCCCCCTTTACAATCGAATAGAAAAATGCTAAAATGTCAGATCGATACCGTGATAAATGCTGATTACCGGCTCCGCCCGTCAGAGGTCCTGCCCCGCAACATCTGTTTGGGGCCTATCAGGTTACAACATTAGGAAACAGGGGAAGGGGAGGCTGGACATGCATGGGGAATTAAATACTAATTGTTACGAGGTACTGCGCTCAGAGGAAGCATGTTAAACGGGATTAGCCAACGTAATGTTTCTTATAATTTAATAAGAACCTTTCAGTTTGAGAAATCTTTATTTTGAAGTTAACGCTAGATCTGGACCCTGCTATGCAGGCCCTGTGTCTGCTGTAGGCATATAATATACACACATAAATAAACACGCACAAATGAACAGCGTTATGATGTGGTCTGTGTGGATGTTTGTGAACATAAGAATTACGGCGGCTGCATCAAGCTCAGGACTTTTTCGGAGCGGGATAGGCGCATGTTGTGGGCGGCTGCCACTTCCTGGGTGTGACTGCACCCTTTTGAGTGTTCTTAAGAAGGAGAGAAGGGGTGTTTCTCTATAGCAAGAAAACAAAGAACATACTTGTGGGTTTATCAATACCGATCTTGCTATCTTACCTCCCAAAAACAAATTGATCTCGTTTGGTGAGGATGCAACCAATGCATCCATGATATTTGGGGCAAGAATGTCATCCTGTGATTTTTACCGTCCTCTGTGCTTCTGTTCTTAGTATTGGAGCCATACTTCGGCAATGGAAGACGACATAAAACAAGTACATGAGAACACAAGTACACCAGAACACAAGTATGGTCAAGTATGCATATTAAGTAATAACCTAGGTGTGTCCCCTTGCTGCTAGGCAACAGACATGACAAAGGGCAGTGAAATCAGCCCTGAAAGGATTTTACTGCAGCAAAGGATGGGCCCCATATGTGTCACTCATAAAAACACATAAACTACAACATTTATTGTTGTGAAATCTTCTCATAGATCACAGACTAGAAAAACAGACAGATTTTCCCCTCAGTGGTAAGTGAGGTAAAACGCACTCCGCAGCAATCATTTTGACTTGTTTTGATATAAAAGAGAGAGAGATTGTGTGTGTGTGTGTGTGTGTGAGAGAGAGAGAGAGAGAGAGAGAGAGAGAGAGAAGGTTTTGTTTTTCATATAGTCATCACCACCTACGGTTTGCATATGGTGACAGGAAATGTATTGTTCACCTTCATGCTAGTAGATTCACATTAACTCATAGCTCAGAGCTGGTTACTTTTAACACATTTAGTCAAATGCGTTAACTACCCATGACCCTGAACAGGATAAGATGAATGACTGCCTGTGACCAGTATGAACATCACAGAGATATAAGGAGATGCTGGATAAGAAGGGGAAGTTCACACCAACTTACACAGTAATAGATGTAGCAAATGACAGTACTCATAATGAAAGAAAACGTTAAATGGATATATGAGTGGGGATTATATCTATAGTTAATCGCTCTCAATCTGTATATAATACCTAATCTGGGAATTGAGGCTGGCTTTCTTGGTAAAGCAACGCAGGGTTGCACTGCCGGCAGATTAGCAGAAATATCACCAATATCATCTCTCACTCTACCCTCCTTTTTCTCCCTTTTGCATTTTCGGGAAAGGGGTCGTGCAAATTATTTGAGGATCTATTTTAAAAGCAGGAAGCCTGTGGTGGGACTTAAGTGCAGCTTTTTCGATTAGATACGGGCAGCTTGGGACGGGCGTGTTTGCAAAGGGTAAACACGTTTAAAACTCAAACTAATCACAATCGTCCCCTCTAAAGTGCTCAAAAGCGGGGGTAAAATGGCTTTGAAAACTAACATTCAAGGGGAAAGTGAACAAACTGATATACGGTTATTTTTCCTGAGTCTAAAAACTATATTTAAAGAAATGTAAGGCGTCTGAGGAGAATAATTTACGTTAGATCCAGCAGTTATCCTGCAGTAGCTCGATCTGTCTATACGCGCCCGATCTACTGGGAAAGTACAAGGATTTAGTTTAGATAAATATGCATGACCCACCTAATCAGGTCCCGCAGTCCAGAAATCCCCAGGTCCTTTACGCTTGTCCACGTTCCCGAGTTTCCCGCTCGTGAAGCACGGTTTATAAAGTTGCCATATCAGTGTTGAGGTGTAGAGCATCTCAAACCTCCAAGGTTGCGGGTTTTGATTCCCATTTCCAGCCTTATGAGGAATGTCATCATGCTCCCTCTCTGTTTGGTGGGCAGGGGGTCCAAAGTCCAAACACATGCAATTAAAGGAAAGGTTGTATCTGAAATGCCCCACTGTGACTGTGTTGTGCCATACAATGAATTGGCATCCAATCCAGGGTGTCTAATGCTCCCTGCCCTGTGCATCCTGGGGACTCTGACTCACCACATCCCTCTGCTGGGCAGCTGGAAGACAGATGGATGCATATAATTTAGTATGCTGGCCGGAGTCCGATATTTCAAACCAAACTGGAGGACTTGGAAAGGAAACCCAGTAACGTATTGATGTATGCAAAGAAATATGGTCACAGCCCAGCAATGTGAGTCTCGCAGAGACTCTCTGTTGGTGCTGTTCGGCTCACATGCCGAAGGCCTGGCCTTTAGCGGGAGAAAACTGCAGATTCACAATTAAAGGATATTCGCAGTCTGCTAAAAATGCACCCCGATAGCAACGCTAAGAGTCATGTGATCCTCCCAGCAGCCCCGGCGGGGGCCCCAGTATACGGTAAATCCATCGTGATCGCCGGGGCAGACGGGGCAGACGGGGCAGACGGGCCATCAGTATAATAGGTGGCAGTGTAAATATGAATCGCGGTGTTCAGGCAAACAGGATGTCCATCGATCCATGAAGAGCCGCCCCTCCACTGAGGGTTGCTGCTCATCTGGAGAGGAATATGACATGGGGGCTCCGCGTCCCGCATACGGCACGACAGTAATACTACAATTTTCGGTACGATAATAGCCAATCTGCTTACCTAATAAACACAGATGGTGGACAACTTTCGCCAATGTGCAAATAGCGTTCAATTATTAAGAAAATTTATCCCAATATTAAAGTTATAAGTACCTTATGATTGGTAAAGTCAACCCGCAGCTCACATAAATAAACACGCACAAATGAACATGGGTCGACCCGCGCATCACTACTGTGCATTAAA